AAAAAAAAAAAAAAAAAAAACCAATTTTGTAAAATCATACCCAATTACATGCAAATGATAAAAAGTGTATTTTTGTAAATTTTTATATTAAATAGTGGATTATTGTTGCATTATTTACACTTTTAGGCATATTGTGATGGATTTTTATGAGTCATGTACTGAGTAATTTTTATAATTGGTAAAGTAGAAGGCAAACGTACTTCTAACAAAAGAAATACAAGTTATTTAAAAACAATGTAAAGTCTGAATTATACTCAAAATAATGTACACGAAATAGGCAATAAATAAAAAATAAAATTAAAATAAGAAAAAAAAATACTACTAATATATAGCTAAATTGAGTTGCAAATGATGAAATTTAAGAAAAAAAAAAAGTAGTAATAAAGAGCTAAATTGAGTTGCAAATAATGAAATTTGTCTCAGACTCACTTAGTCCATCATGTTATAATATCAATTTCAATCTCAATAGGCCAGTTTCGAACTATATCGGCGAACATCCTCGAATCATTTTTAGCAGTCTACGAGATCACTCACAATGCATTGAGTCCAATTTTACATATGTGACATAAACTTAAATACCGAATGACATGAATAAACCGAGTAAAAAAGATCCAAAAGTTATTCAATGCAATATAAAAATGTTCTAATATATTTTATCTATATAAAAAAACATATATGAATAAATGATGACGGCTCGAGTTTGTACTCGAGTCCAAAATAGTTTCAAAAGTGAATTTAGTCTCATTCTTTTGATTGGTTAACTCGTATTCCACGTGTTACAAATCCATTGGGAAAATTATAAAATTCTGATATATTATTATTATAATTAGTGTCAAACATCCAAGCCATATGTAAATAAAGGCTTGTAACTACCCAAGAACGCTTGAATGAAATGGTTTGGGTCTCTTCCAGCTTAATCAGTGGTCTCGTGTTCGAGCCCTGGGAATGCAGCAGTGTTAAAACTATTGAGGGAGAGTTTTGCCGCCCTTGTGGTCCTACCCGGCTCGATTCCGAATTAGTCGGTTCTCATGTGGATCCGAAAATCGGAAGGTCCTGTACCAAAAAAAAAATAAAGGCCTGTAACTATTGAATGCGAGTTGACTAAGCCCGCACTATCATGCAGTCCCCCCTACATTTAATTTGAAGTATATTTTTCCATTAATTGATCAATATTGACAGTAAAATATTAGCCAATTAATTATTCTTTT